TGTGTTAGCTGTGTGTGTTTGTTGTGTGTTAAACTGTGTTAGACTGTTGTGTGTGTTGTGTGTTAAACTGTGTTAGACTGTTGTGTGTGTTAAACTGGGTTAGTCTGTTGTGTGTGTTGTGTGTTAAACTGTGTTAGACTGTTGTGTGTGTTGTCTCTTAAACTGTGTTAGACTGTTGTGTGTGTTGTGTGTTAAACTGGGTTAGTCTGTTGTGTGTGTGTTAAACTGGGTTAGTCTGTTGTGTGTGTGTTGTGTGTTAAACTGTGTTAGACTGTTGTGTGTGTGTTGTGTGTTAAACTGTGTTAGACTGTTGTGTGTTAAACTGGGTTAGACTGTGTGTGTGTTGTGTGTTATACTGTGTTAGAGTGTGTGTTTTGTGTGTGTTAAACGGTGTTAGACTGTTGTGTGTGTTGTGTGTTAGCTGTGTGTGTTGTGTGTTAAACTGTGTTAGACTGGTGTGTGTGTTGTGTGTTGAACTGGGTTAGTCTGTTGTGTGTGTGTGGTGTGTTAAACTGTGTTAGACTGTGTGTGTGTTAAACTGTGTTAGACTGTTGTGTGTGTTGTGTGTTAAACTGTGTTAGACTGTGTGTGTGTTAAACTGGGTTAGACTGTTGTGTGTGTTGTGTGTTAAACTATGTTAGACTGTTTTGTGTGTGTTGTGTGTGTTAAACTGTGTTAGACCGTTGTGTGTGTTGTGTGTGTTGTGTGTTAAACTGTGTTAGACTGTGTGTTGTGTGTTAAACTGGGTTAGACTGTTGTGTGTGTGTTGTGTGTGTGTGTGTTGTGTGTGTTGTGTGTTAAACTGGGTTAGACTGTTGTGTGTGTGTTGTGTGTGTTGTGTGTTAAACTGGGTTAGACTGTGTCTGTGTGTTGTGTGTGTGTTAAACTGTGTTAGACTGTTTTGTGTGTGTTGTGTGTTAAACTGTTAGACTGTTGTGTGTGTGTTGTGTGGGTGTTGTGTGTGTTGTGTGTGTTGTGTGTTAAACTGTGTTAGACAGTTGTGTGTGTTGTGTGTTAAACTGTGTTAGACTGTTTTGTGTGTGTTGTGTGTTAAACTGTGTTAGACTGTTGTGTGTGTGTTGTGTGTGTGTGTTGTGTGTGTTGTGTTAAACTGTGTTAGACTGTTGTGTGTGTGTTAAACTGGGTTAGACTGTGTGTTGTGTGTTAGACTGTGTGTTGTGTGTGTGTTGTGTTAAACTGTGTTAGACTGTTGTGTGTGTGGTGTGTGTATTGTGTGTTAAACTGTGTTAGACTGTGTGTGTTGTGTGTTAAACTGTGTTAGTCTGTTTTGTGTGTTAAACTGTGTTAGACTGTTGTGTGTGTTGTGTGTTAAACTGTGTTAGACTGTTGTGTGTGTGTTATGTGTTAAACTGTATTAGACCGTGTGTGTGTGTTGTGTGTGTGTTGTGTGTTAGACTGTGTGTTGTGTGTTAAATTGTGTTAGACTGTTGTGTGTGTTGTGTGTTAGACTGTGTTGTGTGTGTTAAACTGTGTTAGTCTGTTGTGTGTGTGTTGTGTGTGTTAAACTGGGTTATACTGTTGTGTGTGTGTGGTGTGTGTGTTGTGTGTTAAACTGTGTTTGACTGTTGTGTGTGTGTTGTCTGTGTGTTGTGTTAAACTGTGTTAGACTGTTGTGTGTGTGTTAAACTGTGTTAGACTGTTGTGTGTGTGTTGTGTGTTAAACTGTGTTAGACTGTTGTGTGTGTTGTGTGTGTGTTGTGTTAAACTGGGTTAGACTGTGTGTGTGTTGTGTTAGACTGTGTGTTGTGTGTGTTGTGTGTTAAACTGTGTTAGACTGCGTGTGTTGTGTTAGACTGTGTGTTGTGTGTGTTGTGTTAAACTGTGTTAGACTGTTGTGTTTTGTGTGTGTTGTGTGTGTGTTGTGTTAAACTGTGTTAGACTGTGTGTGTTGTGTTAAACTGTGTTAGACTGTTGTGTGTGTTGTGTGTGTGTGTTGTGTTAAACTGTGTTAGACTGTTGTGTTGTGTTAAACTGTGTTAGACTGTTGTGTGCGTTAAACTGTGTTAGACTGTTGTGTGTTGTGTTAAACTGTGTTAGACTGCTGTGTGTGTTGTGTTAAACTGTGTTAGACTGTGTGTTGTGTTAAACTGTGTTAGACTGTTGTGTGTTACAGTCCACTGCTGTCTGTAAGACTGCACTCTACAGTATCAGTACAGTACACCACAGTATTACTTCACTGTACACCCGTCAGTGATTCACACATACAGTGCGCGCACAGTACACGTACAGTGCACGTACAGCGCACATACAGTACGTGCACAGTGCGCGTACAGTGCGGTGCGCGTGCAGTGTAGCGCCGCTGTAGTCCGTGTTCCTACTGTACTCGGTACAGTATCGTCTGGTGTATACAGTGCGTGTACAGTACCACGCCACTGTACTGCCGCGTGCCTACTGTGCTCGGTACAGTACCGCTTTGCGTGTACAGTACGAGTGTACAGTGTCCGTACATAACTGACGTCACGCGCCGAGGGGGGGGGGGTTTGAGAAATGTGACGTCACATCGGAATGCGAAACTTTAAATAAATGTGAATTGAATAGAATTGTGACGACACTAAAATATTTATATTATTTTAAATTAGATAGATAGATTAGATCCTTTGTTGCCATTGTCACCGGCGCAACGAAATTCAACGTTTCGATTTAAATCTTTTCGTGACTGCAAGGATTCATCTTCTTTAGTTATTTCCGATAAAGACCACCACCCACGTGGAATCAGAATAAAGTAATAAAATAACACCATCAAATTCTCACGACGTTTCGGCCACAACACGAGAACCGTAGAGGAGAAATTGAACGCGCTCGCCAGCCAGTGCATCCATCGTTCATACATTTAAGCAAAATAAAACTAGAAATGAAAATAAGATAAAAGCCAATCGATAAACGTTATACATATGAAAACTGCCCAAGTATACCCGCATACCCACGTAAAGGTTACCTTGTGTCATTGCACAACCCTATGTTACAGCCAATTGTAAACGGCATTACTTCATAATGAATTGGCAGCATTGAGTGTGGCAATTGCTGTGCGGATGAAAGCTGTGCTTGAAATCCCGTTCGTCCTTGCTTTTCACCGACCCGAATCGCCCGCCTAAAAGGCGACAGCTCAAACAGAGGGTACCCAGCCTGGCAAGGGGCCTCCATGACGATCCGCGCTTTCTCGATGTCAACATGGAGCTGTGTTATTCTTCCAGTGTCGGGAGGGAGAGACAGAGAGACAGAGAGGGGGGGGGCATCCGCCGATTATTATTTTGACGACGACCCTCTCGCAGCGCTTTCCTCTGAGCCACCGGCTGGCTACGCGCGTCGGCGCCAGCTGAAGAAGAATCTCCACGCACGGCACGGCGCCTCGCACCCCGTCTCGCCCTCTCCGCTCGCAGCCGCGGGCGGCAAGGCCCCACTCGTCCCCGCCAGCCCGCCGCCCCGGTTGGACTCCCCGGATAGGGGCGGGACGGCACGTCGACCGGCGGCGACCGGGGAACGACCGGCGACGACCGGCGACGACCGGGGAACGACCGGCGACGACCGGGGAACGACCGGCGACGACCGGCGACGACCGGGGACGACCGGCGACGACCGGCGACGACCGGCGACGACCGGGGAACGACCGGCGACGACCGGCGACGACCGGGGAACGACCGGCGACGACCGGCGACGACCGGGGAACGACCGGCGACGACCGGGGAACGACCGGCGACGCCCGGGGAACGACCGGCGACGACCGGCGACGACCGGGGAACGACCGGCGACGACCGGCGGCGACCGGGGAACGACCGGCGACGACCGGCGACGACCGGCGACGACCGGGGACGACCGGCGACGACCGGGGAACGACCGGGGAACGACCGGCGACGACCGGCGACGACGCCGTCCTCCGGCGGGGCGGCAACGGCGGCGATGCCCGGCGGCCCTGGCTTGGCCGACCGCGGCCTCCCTCGGCGAGCCCGCCCGGGACGTCGGCGCCCGGCGGCGGACTCCGGGATCGCCGTCCGTGCTCCGTAGCGGCGGCAGCGGCGGCGGACGAGCGGACGAGTCGCTGGACAACGGAAACGGGAAACATTTGGGGCTCGGTTGAGAGAGGAGTTGCGGCCGCGCGGTGACGCACCGAAATCTTCGCCAAGTTTGAGTGGTGGTGGTCGTGGTGGTCGTGGTGGTGTGGTGGTGTGGTGGTCGTGGTGGTGTGGGTATGGGGGGAGAGGGAAGGCGGCAAGACAACAGCAGGGATCAGTGCCGGACCACGCCAAGGCTACGTAGGGTGGTGTGAACGAGGTTCAGCACACGTACACACGTGAGTCATCACACACAGAGACCCATAGACTCACCACACAGCAGAGACCCATAGACTCATCACACAGCAGAGACCCATAGACTCATCACACAGCAGAGACCCATAGACCCATCACAGCAGAGACCCATAGACTCATCACACAGCAGAGACCCATAGACTCATCACACAGCAGAGACCCATAGACTCATCACACAGCAGAGACCCATAGACTCATCACACAGCAGAGACCCATAGACTCATCACACAGCAGAGAGCCATAGACTCATCACACAGCAGAGACCCATAGACTCATCACACAGCAGAGACCCATAGACTCATCACACAGCAGAGAGCCATAGACTCATCACACACAGAGACCCATAGACTCATCACACACAGAGACCCATAGACTCATCACACAGCAGAGACCCATAGACTCATCACACAGCAGAGTCCCATAGACTCATCACACAGCAGAGACCCATAGACTCATCACACAGAGACCCATAGACTCACACAGAGACCCACAGACTCACAATAGAGACCCACAGACTCACAATAGAGACCCACAGACTCACAATAGAGACCCACAGACTCACAATAGAGACCCATAGGGCCGCCACCATCACAGCAGAGACGCCGTGACGGCGCCCTGTGCCAGGCCCCAAGGTGCCCCCCTTTGCGGGCACGGCGAGCGCCCAGCGGCCCCGAGGCCATGCCGGCCCTCGGCCTCCTGCTGCAGCGCCTGAAGGGCCTCCGGGCGCACGGCAGCCCGCCGCAGACGCCGGCGCCGGTGCCGGCCGCGGTGGCGGCGGCGGCGGCGGCGGCCTCGGAGGAGTTTGCCGTGACGGCGGCGGCGCTGGCGCGAGTCCCCGGCGTGGAGCGCCGCTTGGAGGAGGCCTTTGGGGTCGTCGTCCGGGAGAGCGCGGCGGCGGCGGCGGCGGCGGCGGCGCCGGGAGGCCCCCGCGGGGCCGAGGGCGGCGGCGGCGGCGGCGGCGGCGCCGTGTGGATCACCGTGGAGGGGCAGCGTGAGAACGTGGACAGGGCCAAGGTAGGGGGGGGGGGGCCAAGGGCCGCCACCATCGTCATCACCACCACCATCACCACCACCATCGCCACCACCACCATCGCCATCACCATCGCCACCACCACCATCACCATCGCCATCGTCATCGCCACCACCACCACCACCATCGCCACCACCACCACCACCACCGCCATCGCCACCACCACCACCACCATCGCCACCACCATCGCCACCACCACCATCACCATCGCCACCACCATCGCCACCACCACCATCACCATCGCCACCATCACCATCGCCACCACCACCACCATCGCCACCACCACCACCACCATCGCCACCACCACCACCACCATCGCCATCACCACCACCACCATCGCCACCATCACCATCATCGCCATCATGGCCACCATCGTCATCACCGAAGTCGCCACCACCACCATCGCCACCACCACCATCGCCACCATCGCCACTACCACGTGTAGCAGCTACTACTACTACACGTGTAGCAGCTACTACTACACGTGTAGCAGCTACTACTACACAATAGCGTCTACTACACGTGTAGCAGCTACTACTACACAGCAGCTACTACTACTACACGTGCAGTAGCTACTACTACACAGCAGCTACTACTACTACACGTGTAGCAGCTACTACTACATGTGTAGCAGCTACTACTACACGTGTAGCAGCTACTACTACACAGCAGCCTCTACTACATGTGTAGCAGCTACTACTACACAGCAGCTACTACTACTACACGTGCAGTAGCTACTACTACACGTGTAGTAGCTACTACTACACGTGTTGTAGCAGCTACTACTACACGTGCAGTAGCTACTACTACACGTGTTGTAGCAGCTACTACTACTACACGTGTTGTAGCAGCTACTTTTTTCCTCCCGGGATAATCCGGCACTACCTTGGGGGAGGAGGTCCCGGGACCGGTTCAGACAATCGCCTCCGGCGCCAACCGCTGCACCACCGCTCCCCCCCCCACCCCCCCCACCCCCCCCACCTCCCCCCGCCAGACCCTGCTGGTGGGGCTGTGCGAGCAGCGGCGGCCGCGGGAGGAGGATGAGCATGAGGATGAGCAGCAGGAGGAGGAGGAGGAGTCGCTCCGGCGGGAGCTCCTCTGCGTGCTCCAGGGCGCCCGCGGCCTCTTCCGCCGGTGCCTCGAGTGGGACTCTGCGGCCCTGGTGGACGCCGCCGCCCTGGACGGCCGCGGCCGCCTCCGCGCCCTCGGCGGGGCTGAGTCCTCGGTGCTGCTCCTCAGCCGCTTGCACTTCTTCTCGGGCCTGTTGGGCGGCAGCGGCGGCAGCGGGCAAGGCGACGAGGAGGTGAATTCGACGGCCCGGCGACTCGCCCCCCCGCCCCCCCCCCCCCCCCCCCCCCCCCCCGGCCCCCCCCCCCCCGGCCCCCCCCCCGATCTCACGGAACCAGCGGCGTTCCTCGAGTCGGATTGTCCGCAGCTTACCGACGCCAAGCGTCTGGGCGTTAGCTCCAGTTTCCTTTCCCTCCTCTCTCTCAGAGGAAGCTTCGCCGTTCACGCAGACGGGGCGAGCAGCGGTGAACGCTCGCGGGCCTGTGGCTACCAGGGTTAGCCGGAGAGTCACACGGGAAGTGAGGGTTTGACAGGGGCCAAGGGCACGTCTGGTACCAGGGTTAGCCGGCGAGTTACACGGGAAGTGAGGGGTTGACAGGGGCTACAGAGCACGGCTGGTACCAGGGTTAGCGAGAGAGTTACACAGGAAGTGAGGGTTGACAGGAGCTAGAGAGCCCAGCTGGTACCAGGGTTAGCGAGAGAGTCACACGGGAAGTGAGGGGTTGACAGGGGCTACAGAGTCCAGCTGGTACCAGGGTTAGCCGGAGAGTTACACGGGAAGTGAGGGATTGACAGGGGCTACAGAGTCCAGCTGGTACCAGGGTTAGCGAGAGAGTCACACGGGAAGTGAGGGGTTGACAGGGGCCACAGAGCACGGCTGGTACCAGGGTTAGCGAGAGAGTCACACGGGAAGTGAGGGTTGACAGGGGCTACAGAGCCCAGCTGGTACCAGGGTTAGCGAGAGAGTCACACGGGAAGTGAGGGTTGACAGGGGCCTCAGGGCCCAGCTGGTACCAGGGTTAGCCGGAGAGTTACACGGGAAGTGAGGGTTGACAGGGGCTACAGAGCCCGGCTGGTACCAGGGTTAGCCGGAGAGTCACACGGGAAGTGAGGGGTTGACAGGGGCTAGAGAGCCCAGCTGGTACCAGGGTTAGCCGGAGAGTCACACGGGAAGTGAGGGATTGACAGGGTCCACAGAGCCCAGCTGGTACCAGGGTTAGCGAGAGACTTACACGGGAAGTGAGGGTTGACAGGGGCCTCAGGGCCCAGCTGGTACCAGGGTTAGCGAGAGAGTTACACGGGAAGTGAGGGTTGACAGGGGCCTCAGGGCACGGCTGGTACCAGACTAGCCGGCGAGAGAGTTACACGGGAAGTGAGGGTTGACAGGGGCTACAGAGCCCAGCTGGTACCAGGGTTAGTCTGAGAGTTACACAGGAAGTGAGGGTTGACAGGGGCTACAGAGTCCAGCTGGTACCAGGGTTAGCGAGAGAGTCACACGGGAAGTGAGGGGTTGACAGGGGCTACAGAGCCCAGCTGGTACCAGGGTTAGCGAGAGAGTTACACAGGAAGTGAGAGGTTGACAGGGGCTACAGAGTCCAGCTGGTACCAGGGTTAGCGAGAGAGTTGCACGGGAAGTGAGGGGTTGACAGGGGCCAAGGGCACGTCTGGTACCAGGGTTAGCCGGCGAGTTACACGGGAAGTGAGGGTTGACAGGGGCCACAGAGCATGGCTGTTACCAGGGTTAGCCGGAGAGTCACACGGGAAGTGAGGGATTGACAGGGGCTAGAGAGCCCAGCTGGTACCAGGGTTAGCCGGAGAGTCACACGGGAAGTGAGGGATTGACAGGGTCCACAGAGCCCAGCTGGTACCAGGGTTAGCGAGAGACTTACACGGGAAGTGAGGGTTGACAGGGGCCTCAGGGCCCAGCTGGTACCAGGGTTAGCGAGAGAGTTACACGGGAAGTGAGGGTTGACAGGGGCCTCAGGGCACGGCTGGTACCAGACTAGCCGGCGAGAGAGTTACACGGGAAGTGAGGGTTGACAGGGGCTACAGAGCCCAGCTGGTACCAGGGTTAGTCTGAGAGTTACACAGGAAGTGAGAGGTTGACAGGGGCTACAGAGTCCAGCTGGTACCAGGGTTAGCGAGAGAGTCACACGGGAAGTGAGGGTTGACAGGGGCTACAGAACCCAGCTGGTACCAGCGTAGCCGGAGAGTTGCACGGGAAGTGAGGGTTGACAGGGGCCACAGAGCATGGCTGTTACCAGGGTTAGCCAGCGAGTTACACGGGAAGTGAGGGTTGACAGGGGCTAGAGAGCCCAGCTGGTACCAGGGTTAGCGAGAGAGTTACACGGGAAGTGAGGGTTGATAGGGGCTACAGAGCACGGCTGGTACCAGGGTAGCCGGCGAGTTACACGGGAAGTGAGGGTTGACAGGGGCTACAGAGCCCAGCTGGTACCAGGGTTAGCGAGAGAGTTACACGGGAAGTGAGAGGTTGACAGGGGCTACAGAGCCCGGCTGGTACCAGGGTTAGCGAGAGAGTTACACGGGAAGTGAGAGGTTGACAGGGGCTACAGAGCCCGGCTGGTACCAGGGTAGTCTGAGACTTACACGGGAAGTGAGGGTTGACAGGGGCTACAGGGCACTGCTGGTAACACGGGAGCTGGCAGGTTAACACGGGAAGTGAGGGTTGACAGGGGCTACAGAGCCCAGCTGTTACCAGGGTTAGTCTGAGAGTTACACAGGAAGTGAGGGTTGACAGGGGCTACAGAGCACTGCTGGTACCAGGGTTAGCGAGAGAGTTGCACGGGAAGTGAGGGTTGACAGGGGCCATAGGGCACGGCTGGTACCAGGGTAGTCTGAGAGTCACACGGGAAGTGAGGGTTGACAGGGGCCACAGAGCACTGCTGGTAACACAGGAGCTGGCAGGTTAACACGGGAAGTGAGGGTTGACAGGGGCCTCAGGGCACGGCTGGTACCAGACTAGCCGGCGAGTTACACGGGCAGGGGCCACAGAGCCCGGCTGGTACCAGGGTTAGCCTTAGAGTTACACAGGAAGTGAGGGTTGACGGGGGCTACAGAGCCCGGCTGGTACCAGGGTTAGCGAGAGAGTTACACGGGAAGTGAGGGTTGACAGGGGCTACAGAGCCCAGCTGGTACCAGGGTAGCCGGCGAGTTACACGGGAAGTGAGGGTTGACAGGGGCCAAGGGCACGGCTGGTACCAGGGTTAGCGAGAGAGTTGCACGGGAAGTGAGGGTTGACAGGGGCTACAGAGCACGGCTGGTACCAGACTAGCTGGCGAGTTACACGGGAAGTGAGGGTTGACAGGGGCTAGAGAGCCCGGCTGGTAACACGGGAGCTAGCAGGTTAACACGGGAAGTTAGAGGTTGACAGGGGCCGCATGGAACAGCAGAGATTATTTTTCGTTTGATAAACACGACGAATAGCCGGAGGTCAGCCCCGGGGGGGGGAATTTTTCGCGAACACAATCCACGGTCGAACCAACATTTTATATCTCCCTCTCTCATCATCATCATCATCATCGTCGCCGTGATGATGATGACGACGATGATGACGATGGAGAGGAGTGAGATACGCAGACTCCACATATACAGCAGGAGGCATCGTCCGGGTCACACGCGGATGGAGCCCACGACCTCCTGCGTGCCAGGCGAGGCGGTTAACATCTCGCCACCACGGCGGCGCCCCTAGGTGCTGGAGGAGGAGGCCGCCGCCAAGCGCGACTTCAAGCTGCTGGTGGAGGCGGCGCCCGACCGCCACACCACGGAGCTGCTGCTGCTGCCCACGGCCCTCAAGCGCGAGCTGCTGGAGCTGGCCGCCGCCTACCCCACGCCGCTGCTGGCGCTGTGGCATCGGCGTGGGGCGGTAGGGGAGCAGCAGCAGCAGCAGCAGCAGCAGCAGCAGCAGCAGCAGCAGCAGCAGCAGCAGCAGCCGGGCGCTGGCAGGGATGGCGGCGGCGGTGTCAGCGGCGACGCCGGAGATTTCTGCGTCGTGGACGGAGCCCCCCCGGTGGCCGTGCTGGAGGCGGCGAGGGCCTGCGGCTACACCCGGCGGGAGGTGGAGGAGGCCTCCGTCAGGGCCGGCACCTACGACGCCGGGAGCCTCCTGCGGGAGCTCAACCGGATGCGCGGCGGCGGCGGCGGCGGCGGCGGCGGCGGCGGCGCCGGGGACGACGCCGGAGCCGCCGGCGATCGCCGTTCGCCGCGGTCGCCGCCGGCGGCGGCGTACCAGGCGAGGCGGCCGACGGCGTCGCGAGTCTTTGAGTACGTGGCGATCGCGGTGAGCGGCGCCGGTGGCGCCGAGCGGTACCGGGAGGCGGAGGTCTGCGCCGATTGGCCGGAGGAGGATGAGGAGGTGGAGGAGGGCAACGGCCGCGTCGTCGCTAACGCGGGCGGTGGCGTGGAGGCTCGGTGGAACAACGGCGACGGCGATGCCGTCGACGAGGTGGGGGAGATGCAGGACCACGACATCTACCGAGCGACGCCTCTGCCCGCCGCCGCCGCCGAGGACGCCACCGAGGACGACTTCGACATCCTGGAGGTGGAGGACTTCCAAGGGAGCGACGCCACCGGGGGAGACCTCCCGCCCGGCACGGCCGCCGCCAGCGGCGCCAGCGGGCGGGGCGGGCCGGCCAGGCCGCCGGGCAGGGTTGCCGAGGCCTTCAGGGCCGGCAAGGCCGGATGGGCGGCGCTGTTGCCGCACAGGCTGCCGTTTCAGCAGCCGGCAAAGAAGCAGGAGGCGGAGGAGGAGGAGGAAGAGGCGGAGGAGGAGGAGGAGGAGGAGGAGGAGGAAGAGGAGGGCAGGCCGACTCGGTTCCCTAGGCCGGGCAGGGCTGGCGGGGCCTTCAGGGCCGGCAAGGTCGGCTGGGCGTCGCTCTTGCCCCACCGGCTGCCGGCAAAGGGGGCGGAGGCGGTGGAGGCGGTGGAGGCGGTGAATCCGGAGACGATGTTCCGGGCGACCATCGCCGCCCCGTTCACGCTGGCACTGAGCAGCTCGGCGGGCCGCGACGGCCTCCGGCACGTCATCGTGGACGGCAGCAACGTGGCCATGACGTGAGTGACAGCCACGTGACTGTGACGTGAGTCACAGTCACGTGACGTGAGTGACAGCCACGTGACAGTGATGTGAGTCACAGTCACGTGGCAGTGACGTGAGTCACAGCCACGTGACCGTGACTCACGTCACGTGACCGTGACGTGAGTCACAGCCACGTGGCCATGACGTGAGTGACAGCCACGTGACTGTGATGTGAGTGACAGCCACGTGACGTGAGTGACAGCAACGTGGCCATGACGTGAGTGACAGCCACGTGACTGTGATGTGAGTGACAGCCACGTGACTGTGATGTGAGTGACAGCCACGTGACTGTGATGTGAGTGACAGCCACGTGACTGTGACGTGAGTCACAGTCACGTGACGTGAGTGACAGCTACGTGGCCATGACGTGAGTGACAGCCACGTGACTGTGACGTGAGTGACAGCCACGTGACTGTGACGTGAGTGACAGCCACGTGACTGTGATGTGAGTCACAGCCACGTGACTGTGATGTGAGTCACAGCAACGTGACTGTGATGTGAGTCACAGCAACGTGGCCATGACGTGAGTGACAGCCACGTGACTGTGACGTGAGTGACAGCCACGTGACTGTGACGTGAGTGACAGCCACGTGACTGTGATGTGAGTCACAGCCACGTGACTGTGATGTGAGTCACAGCAACGTGACTGTGATGTGAGTCACAGCAACGTGGCCATGACGTGAGTGACAGCCACGTGACTGTGATGTGAGTCACAGCCACGTGACTGTGATGTGAGTCACAGCAACGTGACTGTGATGTGAGTCACAGCAACGTGGCCATGACGTGAGTGACAGCCACGTGACTGTGACGTGAGTCACACCCACGTGACGTGAGTCACAGCCACGTGACTGTGATGTGAGTCACACCCACGTGACGTGAGTCACAGCCACGTGACCGTGACGTGAGTCACAGCAACGTGGCCATGACGTGAGTCACAGCCACGTGACTGTGACGTGAGTCACACCCACGTGACGTGAGTCACAGCCACGTGACTGTGATGTGAGTCACAGCCACGTGACGTGAGTGACAGCCACGTGACCGTGACATGAGTGACAGCCACGTGACTGTGACGTGAGTCACACCCACGTGACGTGAGTGACAGCCACGTGACTGTGATGTGAGTCACAGCCACGTGACTGTGACGTGGGTGACAGCCACGTGACTGTGACGTGGGTGACAGCCACGTGACTGTGACGTGGGTGACAGCCACGTGACTGTGACGTGAGTGACAGCCACGTGACTGTGACGTGGGTGACAGCCACGTGACTGTGACGTGAGTCACAGCCACGTGACAGTGACGTGAGTCACAGCCACGTGACGTGAGTCACAGCCACGTGACGTGAGTCACAGCCACGTGGCTGTGAGTCACAGCCACGTGACTGTGACGTGAGTCACAGTCACGTGGCGTGAGTGACAGCCACGTGACAGTGACGTGAGTCACAGCCACGTGACGTGAGTGACAGCCACGTGACTGTGACGTGGGTGACAGCCACGTGACTGTGACGTGGGTGACAGCCACGTGACTGTGACGTGAGTGACAGCCACGTGACTGTGACGTGGGTGACAGCCACGTGACTGTGACGTGAGTCACAGCCACGTGACTGTGACGTGAGTCACACCCACGTGACGTGAGTCACAGCCACGTGACTGTGATGTGAGTCACAGCCACGTGACGTGAGTGACAGCCACGTGACCGTGACATGAGTGACAGCCACGTGACTGTGACGTGAGTCACACCCACGTGACGTGAGTGACAGCCACCTGACTGTGATGTGAGTCACAGCCACGTGACTGTGACGTGGGTGACAGCCACGTGACTGTGACGTGGGTGACAGCCACGTCACTGTGACGTGGGTGACAGCCACGTGGACTGTGACGTGAGTGACAGCCACGTGACTGTGACGTGGGTGACAGCCACGTGACTGTGACGTGAGTCACAGCCACGTGACGTGAGTCACAGCCACGTGACGTGAGTCACAGCCACGTGACGTGAGTGACAGCTATGTGACGTGAGTCACAGCCACGTGACTGTCACTCACGTCACGTGACTGTAACGTGAGTCACAGCCACGTGACTGTGACGTGTGTCACAGCCACGTGACGTGAGTCACAGCCACGTGACCACAGCCTGTAACAGCTCCATACTCTTTGGTTCTATCCGGTAAAGTCACGTAGGTAAAAATAAAATAACAAAAATCACGACGACATTTCGGCCACAACACAAGTGGCCTTCATCAGGTGAAGGGACCGTGCTGTCACGAGGACAGCGTTGGGAGTGAAGACAGCCAAGCCCAGGTGGCGTCCTTTAAGCTGTGTGGGAGGAAGCAAAAAACGCCTTGACAAAGGAATTAGCATAACAATGATGTAGCATAACAATGATGTACTGGACTGGCACAGTGGGGTGGGGTAGTTTACATAATGTTGGTGTGAAGGCAAATAAGCTGCTGTGAAAGTTTGGCTGGGCGGGTTAGTCCACGAGGCAATTCAGATCTACAAACACAGACACAATTTCAACCGAGAGGATGGTTTGAAATTAAGCAATCACTGGAAAGATGTTCTAAATCAAACCAAACATTAAAACGAATTTGCAATGGTACAGTATATTTTTTCAAGTGGTGGTATCCCAAACTTTCACAGCTGCTTATTTCCCTTCACACCAACATTATGTAAACTCCCCTCCGTCCACGCCTGGTCCATCATGGTCCCCCCCCCGCGCCTGGTCCATCATGGTCCATCATGTACCTCCTACGTACATCATGCCTATTGTTATGCTAATTCCTTTGTCAAGGCGTTTTGTTTCCTCCCACACAGCTTAAAGGACGCGACCTGGGCTTGGCTGTCTTCACTCCAACGCTGTCCTCGTGACAGCACGGTCCCTTCACCTGATGAAGGCCACTTGTGTTGTGGCCGAAACGTCGTCGTGATTTTTGTCATTTTATTTTTTTACCTACGTGGTGACTTTGGCCAATTATAACCAAAGAGCGTGGATCCTTGCAGTCACGAAAGCTTCAAATCTAGAATTGTAACAGACCCCTTGGGGCAAGCGCTGCCAGCGACTAGCAGGACTTACCAAGGCGAACTCAAGGAGGCCCAGGACTGGTTCAGTGGTCTCACCCCGTGACCCCATGACCTTGTATCTCACCCCGTGACCCCGTATCTCACCCCGTGACCCCATGACCTTGTATCTCACCCCGTGACCCCGTATCTCACCCCGTGACCCCATGACGTTGTATCTCACCCCTTTACCTTGTATCTCACCCCGTGACCCCATATCTCATCCCGTGACCCCATGAACTTGTATTTCACCCCGTGACCCCGTATCTCACCCCGTGACCCCATGACCTTGTATCTCACCCCGTGACCCCGTATCTCACCCCGTGACCCCATGACGTTGTATCTCACCCCGTGACCCCATGACGTTGTATCTCACCCCGTGACCCCGTATCTCACCCCGTGACCCCATGACCTTGTATCTCACCCCGTGACCCCATGACCTTGTATCTCACCCCGTGACCCTGTATCTCACCCCGTGACCCCATGACCTTGTATCTCACCCCGTGATCCTGTATCTCACCCCGTGACCCCTTGACCTTGTATCTCACCCCGTGACCCTGTATCTCACCACGTATCTCACCCCGTGACCTCTTACCTCACTCCGTATATCACCCCGTGACCCCGTATCTCACCCCGTGACCCCGTATCTCACCCCGTGACCCCACGACCCCATGACACCGTGACCCAGTATCTCACCCCGTGACCCCCGTATCTCACCCCGTATCTCACCCCGTGACCCCGTATCTCACCCCGTGACCCCGTATCTCACCCCGTGACCCCACGACCCCATGACACCGTGACCCAGTATCTCACCCCGTGACCCCCGTATCTCACCCCGTATCTCACCCCGTGACCCCGTATCTCACCCCGTGACCCCGTATCTCACCCCGCGACCCCGCGACCCCGCGACCCCGTGACCCCGCAGGCACGGGCTGCACCGTTTCTTCTCGTGCCGCGGCGTTGCCCTGGCGGTCCGCTTCTTCTGGGAGCGTGGCCACCGCAACATCACCGTGTTCATCCCGCAGTACCGTACTCGCCACGACCCCAACGTCACCGGTACCACTACTAGTCACTACTACTACCACTAGTCACCACTACTACTAGTCACCACCACCACCACCGCAACATCACCGTGTTCATCCCGCAGTACCGTACTCGCCACGACCCCAACGTCACCGGTACCACCACCACTCACCACCACCACTACTACCACTAGTCACCACTACTACTACTAGTCACCACCACCACCACCGCAACATCACCGTGTTCATCCCACAGTACCGTACTCGCCACGACCCCAACGTCACCGGTACCACTACCACCACTACTACTACCACTAGTCACCACTACTACTAGTCACCACTAGTCACCACCACCACCGCAACATCACCGTGTTCATCCCGCAGTACCGTACTCGCCACGACCCCAACGTCACCGGTACCACCACCACTCACCACTACTACCACTAGTCACCACTACTACTACTAGTCACCACCACCACCGCAACATCACCGTGTTCATCCCACAGTACCGTACTCGCCACGACCCCAACGTCACCGGTACCACTACTAGTCACTACTACCACTAGTCACCACTACTACTACCACTACTACCACTACTACTAGTTACCACTACCACTACTACTACTAGTTACCACTACTACTACTACTACTCACTACTACTACCACTACTACTACTCACTACTACTACCACTACTACTACTACCACTAGTCACTACTACTACTACTAGTCACCACTACTACTACCACTCACCACTACTACTACTCACTACTACTACTACTACTACTCACCACTACTACTACTACTCACCACTACTACTACTAGTTACCACTACTGCTACTAGTCACCACCACTACTACTACTACTACTCACCACTACTACTACTACTCACCACTACTACTACTACGACTACTCACCACTACTACTACTACTAGTCACCACCACTACTACTACTCACCACTACTACTACTACTAGTCACCACTACTACTACTACTACTTACCACTACTACTACTACTCACCCCTACTACTACTCAACACTACTACTACTACTACTATTCACCACTACTACTACTCACGACTACTCACCACTACTACTACTAGTCACCACCACCACCACCACCACAACATCACCGTGTTCATCCCACAGTACCGTACTCGCCACGACCCCAACGTCACCGGTACCACTCACCACTACTACTACTCACCACTACTACTACTACTAGTCACTACTACTACCACTACTACTACTCACCACTACTACTACTACTAGTCACTACTACTAGTCACTACTACTACTACCACTACTACCACTACTACTACTAGTCACTACTACTACTACCACTACCACCACTACTACCACTACTACTAGTCACTACTACTACTCACCACTACTACTACTAGTCACCACTACTACTACTCACCACCACTACTACTACTACTACCATTACTACTACTAGTCACCACTACTACCACTACTACTACTCACTACTACTACCACTACTACTACTAGTCACCACTACTACTACTACCACTAGTTACCACTACTACTACCACTACTACTACTAGTCACCACTACCACTAGTTACCACTACTACTACCACTACTACTACTAGTCACCACTACCACTACTACTACTCACCACTACTACTACTCACCACTACTACTACCACTACCACTCACCACCACCACTACTACTACTACTAGTCACCACTACTACTACTCACTACTACTACTACTACTCACTACTACCACTACTACTACTCACCACTACTACTCACCACTACTACTACTCACCACTACTACTCACCACTACTCCTCACCACCACTCCTCACCACTACTCACCACCACTACTCACCACCACTCCTCACCACTACTCCTCACCACCACTCCTCACCACTACTCCTCACCACTACTACTCACCACTACTCCTCACCACCACTCCTCACCACTACTGCTCACCACCACTCCTCACCACTACTCCTCACCACCACTCCTCACCACTACTCCTCACCACCACTCCTCACCACCACTCCTCACCACTACTCACCACCACTACTACTCACCACTACTACTACTCACCACTACTACTCACCGCTACTACTCACCACTACTACTCACCACCACTCCTCACCACTACTACTCACCACTACTACTCACCACCACTCCTCACCACCACTCCTCACCACCACTACTCACCACCACTCCTCACCACCACTCCTCACCACCACTACTCACCACCACTACTCACCACTACTCCTCACCACCACTACTCCTCACCACCACTCCTCACCACCACTCCTCACCACCACTCCTCACCACCACCACTCCTCACCACCACTCCTCACCACTACTCCTCACCACCACTCCTCACCACTACTGCTCACCACCACTCCTCACCACTACTCCTCACCACCACTCCTCACCACTACTCCTCACCACCACTCCTCACCACCACTCCTCACCACTACTCACCACCACTACTACTCACCACTACTACTACTCACCACTACTACTCACCGCTACTACTCACCACTACTACTCACCACTACTACTCACCACCACTCCTCACCACCACTCCTCACCACCACTACTCACCACCACTCCTCACCACCACTCCTCACCACCACTACTCACCACCACTACTCACCACTACTCCTCACCACCACTACTCCTCACCACCACTCCTCACCACCACCACTCCTCACCACCACTCCTCACCACCACTCCCCCCCCCTGCCCCCCAGAGCCTCAGCTGCTGAGCCAGCTGAGTGAGTTGGGCCTCCTGTCGTTCACCCCGTCACGTCTCGTGGAGGGGCGCACCGTAGCCGCACACGACGACCGGTACCACCGCAGCCACCACCACAACCACCACCACAACCACCACAACCACCACAACCACCACAACCACCACAACCACAACCACTACCACCACCACAACCACCACAACCACCACAACCACTACCACAACCACCACCACAACTACCACAACCACTACCACAACCACCACAACCACTACCGCAACCACTACCGCAACCATCGCAACCAACACCACAACCAACATCACAACCACCACAACCACCGCAACCACCGCAACCACCACCACAACCACCACAACCACCACTACCACCACCACAACCACCACAACCACCACAACCACCACAACCACTACCACAACCACCACAACCACTACCGCAACCACCACCACAACCACCACAACCACCACCACAACCACAACCACCACAACAACCACCACAACCACCACAACCACCACAACCACTACCACAACCACCACAACCACCACCACCACTACCACAACCACCACAACCACCACAACCACCACCACAACCACCACAACCACCACAACCACCACAACCACTACCACCACAACCACTACCACAACCACCACAACCACTACCACAACCACTACCACAACCACCGCAACCACCACAACCACCGCAACCAACCGAGTGTCACCATACTTCTGGCTGCCACTGAGTGGATGGTGACACTCACTGAGTGAGTGAGTGAGTTGGTGGGTGAGTGAGTGAGAGGCTGAGTGAGTGAGTGGCTGAGTGAGTGGTAAGTGTCTGAGTGAGTGGCCGAGCGAGTGTGTCGCTGAGTGAGTGGCTGAGTGAGTGAGTGAGTGGCTAAGTGAGTGAGTGGCTGAGTGAGTGAGTGGCTGAGTGAGTGAGTGGCTAAGCGAGTGAGTGGCTGAGTGAGTGAGCGAGTGCCTGAGTGAGTGAGTGGCTGAGTGAGTGAGTGGGTGAGTGAGTGAGTGTCTGAGTGAGCAGTGGCTGAGTGAGTGAGTGGCTGAGTGAGTAAGTGGCTGAGTGAGTGGCTGAGTGAGTGAGTGGCTGAGTGAGTGGCTGAGTGAGTTGAGTGGCTGAGTGGGTGAGTGAGTGATTGAGTGGCTGAGTGAGTGAGTGGGTGAGTGAGCCAGTGAGTGAGTGAGTGGCTGAGTGAGTGAGTGGCTGAGTGAGTGAGTGGCTGAGTGAGTGAGTGGGTGAGTGGATGAATGAGTGAGTTAGTGGCTGAGTGAGTGAGTGGCTGAGTGAGTGGCTGAGTGAGTGAGTGACTGAATGAGTGAGTGGATGAGCGAGTGACTGAGTGAGTGAGTGACTGGGTGAGTGAGTGGCTGAGTGAGTGAGCGAGTGACTGAGTGAGTTGAGTGGCTGAGTGAGTGAGTGGGTGAGTGAGTGAGTGGGTGAGTGAGTGAGTGAGTGGATGAGCGAGTGACTGAGTGAGTGAGTGGGTGAGCGAGTGGGTGAGCGAGTGGGTGAGCGAGTGGGTGAGCGAGTGGGTGAGCGAGTGAGTGAGTGGCTGAGTGAGTGAGTGGGTGAGTGAGTGGGTGAGTGGGTGAGTGAGTGGGTGAGTGGGTGAGTGGGTGGGTGAGCGAGCAATGTGGCCTCCCCGACCCCAGGTTCCTGCTGCACCTGGCTGAGCACACAGGTGGTGTCGTCGTCACCAATGACAACCTCCGGGACCTGATCACAGAGTCGCCCGCCTGGAGGGACATCGTGCGGGAGCGGTGAGCACTCACTCACTCACTCAGCCACTCACTCGCTGGCTCACTCACTCACCCAGTCACTCACTCACCCACTCACTCACCCACTCAGCCACTCACTCAGCCACTCACTCACTCACTCAGCCACTCACTCACTCACCCACTCACTCACTCACTCACCCACTCACTCACTCACTCAGCCACTCACTCACTCACCCACTCACCCACTCACTCAGGCACTCACTCACTCACTCAGCCACTCAGCCACTCACTCACTCACCCACTCCCTCACTCACTCAGCCACTCACTCACTCACTCACCCACTCAGCCACTCACTCACTCACTGGCTCACTCACTCAGCCACTCACTCACTCACCCACTCACTCAGCCAATCACTCACTCACTCAGCCACTCACTCAGCCACTCAGTCACTCACCCACTCACTCAGCCAATCACTCACTCACTCAGCCACTCACTCAGCCACTCACTCACTCACCCACTCACTCAGCCAATCACTCACTCACTCAGCCACTCACTCAGCCACTCAGTCACTGACTCACCCACTCACTCACCCACTCACTCACTCACTCACCCAGTCACTCACTCACTCACCCACTCACCACTCACTCACCCACTCACCACCCACTCACCACTCACCACTCACCCACCCACTCACCACTCACCACTCACCACTCACCCACTCACTCATCCACCCACTCACCCACCCACCCACTCACCCACCCACTCACCCACTCACCCACTCACCCACCAACTCACCCACTCACCACTCACCACTCACCCACTCACCCACCCATTCACTCACTCACTCACCCACTCACCAACTCACCCACCCACTCACTCACTCACCCGCCCACCCACTCACCCACCCACCCACTCACCACTCACCACTCACCCACCCACCCACACACTCACCACCCACCCACTCACCACTCACCCACACACCCACCCACTCACCACTCACCACTCACACACTCACCACCCACCCACTCACCACTCACCCACACACCCACCCACTCACCACTCACCACTCACCACCCACCCACTCACTCACCCACTCCCTCACCCACTCACTCACTCACCCACTCACTCACCCACTCACTCAGTCACTCACCCACTCACTCACCCACTCACCCACTCACCCACCCCCTCACTCACCCACTCACCCACCCACTCACCACTCACCACCCACCCACCCACTCACCCACCCACCCACCCACTCACCCACCCACCCACTCACCACTCACCCATTCACCACTCACCCACCCACTCACCCACCCACCCACCCACTCACCCACCCACCCACTCACTCACCCACTCACCACTCACCACCCACTCACCCACCCACTCACCACCCACTCACCCACTCACCACTCACCACCCACCCACCCACTCACCACGAGTGATGTCTCTCTCTGTGTGTGCAGCTTGCTACAGTTCACGTTCGCTGCTGGGATCTTCCTCATCCCTGACGACCCCCTGGGGCCTGGGGGCCCCTCCCTCGACGCCTTCCTGTCACTGAAGCCCCTCGCAGACAGGTCACTGATGGTGGTGGGGGTGGTAGTGGTGGTGGGGGTGGTGGTGGTGGAGGTGGTGGTGGGGGTGGTGGTGGTGGTGGAGGTGGTGGTGGTAGTGGTGAGGGTGGTGGTGGTGCTGGTGGTGGTGGTGGTGGCAGTGGCGGTGGTGGTGGGGGTGGTGGTAGTGGTGGTGGTGGGGGTGGTGGTGGTGGTGGTGGGGGTGGTAGTAGTGGTGGTGGTGGTAGTGGTGAGGGTGGTGGTAGAGGTGGGGGCAGTGGTGGTGGTGGTGGTAGTGGGGGTGGCGGTGGTAGTGGTGAGGGTGGTGGTGAGGGTGGTGGTGGTGGTGGTGGGGGTGGTGGTGGTGGGGGCGGTGGTGGTGGTGGTAGAGGTGGTGGTGGTGGTAATGGTGGGGGTGGTGGTGGTGGTGGTGATAGTGATGGTGGTGGAGGTGACGGTGGTGGTGGTGGTGGTGATGGTGGTGGTAGAGGTGGTGGTGGTAGAGGTGGTGGTGGTGGTGGTGGTGGTAGAGGTGGTGGTGGTAGAGGTGGTGGTGGTGGTGGTGGCGGTGGTGGGGGTGGTGGTGGTGGTGGTAGTGGTGGTGGTGGCGGTGGTGGTGATGGTGGGGGTGGTGGTGGTGGTGGTGGGGGTGGCGGTGGTGGTGGTGGTGGTGGTGGCGGCGGTGGTGGTGGTAGTGGTGAGGGTGGTGGTGAGGGTGGTGGTGGTGGTGGTGAGGGTGGTGGTGGTGGTGGGAGTGGTGGGGGTGGGGGTGGTGTTGATGGTGGTGGTGGGAGTGGTGGGGGTGGCGGTGGTTGTGGCGGTGGTGGTGGTTGTGGTGGTGGTGACGGTGGTGGTGGTGGTGGTTGTGGTGGTGGTGGTGACGGTGGTGGTGGTGGTTGTGGTGGTGGTTGTGGTGGTGGTAATGGCGGTGGCGGTGGTGGTGGTGGTGAGGGTGGTAGTGGTGGTGGTGGTGAGGGTGGTGGTGGTGAGGGTGGTAGTGGTGGTGGTGGTGGTGGTGGCGGTGGTGGCGGTGGTGGTGGTGGCGGTGGTGGTGGTGGTGGTGGTGGCGGTGGTGGCGGTGGTGGTGGTGGTGGTGGTGACAGCGCCCCAAGCACCACCAGCAGCAGCTGCTGCTCACTCAAGGCTGAGTCGACCTAGAGGGGGACGGGGAAACCTCCTGACCTCTCTCTGACCTCCTGGCCCCTCTCCTCTGACCTCCTGACCCCTCTCCTCTGACCTCCTGACCCCTTTCCTCTGACCTCCTGACCTCTCTCTGACCTCCTGACCTCTCTCCTCTGACCTCCTGACCCCTCTCCTCTGACCTCCTGACCCCTCTCCTCTGACCTCCTGACCCCTCTCTGACCTCCTGACCCCTCTCCTCTGACCTCCTGACCCCTCTCTGACCTCCTGACCCCTTCTCCCCACAGCCACGTGGCCGTGGCGAGCCGCGGGAAGCCCCGGGGTGAGGTGGGTGGGGGCCGTGGTGGTGGGGGGGGCCGTGGTGGTGGTGGGGGGCGAGGTGGTGGGGGGGGCCGAGGTGGTGGGGGGGGCCGGGCCTACAGCCCCCGACGGCATCAGCAGCCTCTGCCCACTACGACAGCCGCAAGCGACGGTGCAGATCGCGCTAAGCCAAACGGTGTGGCCCACCGTCCGTGGATGCAACAGCAGCCGCAACAGCAGCAGCAGCAGAAGCAACAGCCGCAACAGCCGCAACAGCAGCAGCAGCAGCAGAAGCAACAGCAGCAGCAACAGCAGCAGAAGCAACAGCAGCAGCAACAGCAGCAGAAGCAACAGCAGCAGCAACAGCAGCAGAAGCAACAACAGCAGCAACAGCAGCAGCAGAAGCAGCAGAAGCAACAGCAGCAACAGCAGCAGCAGCAGCAACAGCAGCAACAGCAACAGCAGCAGAAGCAACAGCAACAGCAGCAGAAGCATCAGGAGAAGCAGCAGCAACGGCAGCTGCTGCCGCAACAGCAACAGCAGCAGCAGCAACACCAGCAGCAGCATCATCAGCAGCATCGTCCCCACCACGTCGACGCCGGCGGCGATCATCAGCAGGAGCGTGCCGGTGCCGGTGCCGGTGCCGGTGCCGGCGGTGCCGGTGCCGGTGCCGGCGGCGGCGCTGCCGCGGTGGCGCTTGCCCGCCGGCAGCTGCTGGCGGTGTTCCCGGCCTCGGCGGCGCAGGTGGAGGCGGTGCTGCGGGGAAACCCGGGCCTCACCGACGTGGCCGAGTTGGCCGACCTGGTGCTGCCGCTCATCTAGGGGGGCGCTGGCCGCGGTGACGGTGGCGGTGACGGTGACGGCGATGGTGGCGGTGACGGCGACGGTGACGGCGGTGACGGTGACGGTGACGGTGACGGTGGTGACGGTGACGGTGACGGTGGTGGCGGTGGTGACGGTGGTGACGGTGACGGTGACGGTGACGGTGACGGTGGTGACGGTGACGGTGACGGTGGTGGCGGTGGTGACGGTGGTGACGGTGGCGGTGACGGTGACGGTGACGGTGGTGGCGGTGACGGTGACGGTGGTGGCGGTGGCGGTGACGGTGGTGACGGTGACGGTGACGGTGGTGGCGGTGGCGGTGGCGGTGACGGTGACGGTGACGGTGGCGGTGACGGTGACGGTGACGGTGGTGACGGTGGTGACGGTGGTGACGGTGACGTTGGCGGTGACGGTGACGGTGACGGCGGTGACGGTGACGGCACCAACACCACAGCTCACCGTGTGTGAAGTGACGGCCATGGATGTAGGCCCAGCCTGGGACCCTGCCGTGACCTGTGACCCTGCTGTGACCTGTGACCCGGTAACCCGGTAACCTGGTAACCTGGTAACCTGGTAACCCGGTAACCCGGTAACCCTCATGTCTAACCGACCTTGTTGATCTATGGCATGTGCCGTGACCACCGCTACCTCCGTCACCACCGTAACCACCGCCACCAACAACAACAACAACCGCCATTCGCCACTGAGCGGCGGTGACGTCACCACGGCGCCTGTGCCAGGCTAGGTGCACCTTGAGGCCACGTGAAGTGTCGAAGGCTCGCTGGCAGGAGGTCACGGGGCAGACCCAGCAGGTGCCACGGGTCGACTGACTGAGATGACTGGCTGATGCACCACCTGTGGCCCCTACTGTGCCAACCTGCTGTGCTTTAGCCACCCGGCACTCCGCTCGTTGTTGTGAGCATCGCTCCTCCGCCCTCCGTTGTTGCTGGAGGGCGACTGCCTCCAACTGCCCAGTAGCCTCAGGGTGCACCTAGCCTGGCACTGCCCAGCAGCAGCGTCCTTCAAGGGCCTCCTCCACAGAGGCCGATCTTGACACCGCTGGTACCGGTCATCGGCAAGTCCACTCAGCTCCACGTCCTCCCGTACCACATCACTCCATCTCTTCTCTAGCCCGTGCCGTGCCCGTTTAGCCCCCTCGATCCGGCCATGCAGTGGCTGGGCATGCGGGCTACGTGACCCAGTCAACGCAGCCTTGCCTGCCGGAGGAGCTCACCGATGGGACTTTGTCCAGATCATTCAAGGATTTGTGAGCTCCTCGCACAATCCAGCCTAGTTAATCCTGCAGACCTGTTTCTGGGGGTCGGAGATTGGATCACCGTTCTTTCCCCTAATGATGGTAATAGGTGTGGCGCTGCAGGTTACTCTTTCGATGGAATTAAATCGTTACTTGTAATTGCGGGCTACTGAGGCAGACTCCATCTCCTCAGCAACCCGCGACCACCACCCATCCTCGCAGCGCCGCACGGCTCTCCGAACCTCCGAGCGAAGTCTCCGGTAAGCCTCCTCATTCTGTGACGTGGGGTGCTGTAGACGATGAGAGTGGGCCTGTCGGTTTCTCTCAACCAGCCTGAACACCTCCTCTATCAGCCAGGGTCTCTGGGGAGGTCTGGACCACGTACCCAAAGCAGCCATTGCAGCTGCGTGAGCCACAGTCCTAAACCTCGCCCATTTACCCTCGACATCAGGAGGAGTGGGGGACGATGCCAACCCCAGCCGCAAGCGATGATGAAATTCTCGCTTGCAGCTCCCCTCAGCTAGCTAAGACCAGGCCACTGTGGGTTTGAATGTGATCCTATATGGACATCCACCACCGGAGTGGAAGAATGGCAGGCGCATCTTACAGATGACTAGTCGATGGTCAGAGGGCAGATCAGCTCCACGGTAGGTCCTGGTGTCAAGGACATGGGCTCGCATCCGCTGGTCCGTCACTATGTAGTCCAGCAGATGTTCTTGCTTGGACCCGGCATGCATCCACGATGTTGTGTGAGCCAAAGACCCATAGACTCACACAGAGACCCATAGACTAACACAGAGAGCCATAGACTCACACAGACACCCATACACTCTCACTGAGACCCATTGACTCACACAGAGACCCATAGACTCACACATAGACCCATAGAGACCCATAAACTCACACAGAGACCCATAGACTCACACAGAGACCCATAGCCTCACAGCGAGACCCATAGACTCACAGCAGAGACCCATAGACTCACACAGAGACCCATAGACTCACACAGAGACCCATAGACTCACACAGAGACCCATAGACTCGCACAGAGACCCGTAGACTCACACAGAGACCCATAGACTCACACAGAGACCCATAGACTCACACAAAGACCCATAGACTCACACAGAGACCAATAGACTCACACAGAGACCCATAGACTCACACAGAGACCCATAGACTCACACAGAGACCCATAGACTAACACAGAGACCCATAGACTCACACAGAGACCCATAGACTCACACAGAGACCCATAGACTCACACAGAGACCCATAGACTCACACAGAGACCCATAGACTCACACAGAGAACCGTAGACTAACACAGAGACCCGTAGACTCACACAGAGACCCGTAGACTCACACTGAGACCCATAGACTCACACAGAGACCCATAGACTCACACAGAGACACAGACTCACACAGAGACCCATAGACTCACACAGAGACCAATAGACTCACACAGAGTGACCCATAGACTCACACAGAGACCCATAGACTCACACAAAGACCCATAGACTCACACAGAGACCAATAGACTCACACAGAGACCCATAGACTCACACAGCAGAGATCCATAGACTCACACAGAGACCCATAGACTCACACAGCAGAGATCCATAGACTGACACAGAGACCCATAGACTGACATAGATAGAAATACGAAACAAGTTAAACGCCATATGTACATAAAATATATTTTAATATCTTAAGGTTAATAACAACAATAATAATACACGTCCCATAGCCTTGCCCATGACGCTGCGCCTAAGGGGTAGTTTTAAATGATTTAATAATTGCAGTCTGGTTAAAACACTGGAACCACAGCGATAAAATTTAAACGTTTAAAATGTTGTTTTAACGTTTTTTTTCTTTTAAACGGTATCTACACAGACAGTGAAACCTTGGGGATTACGAGTAACTTGGTCTGAAAGTGTTTTGCTATACGAGCAACAATTTTAAAATAAATATTAACTTGATCAACGAGCGAGGGTTCTTGCAATACGAACGTCTGCACGTGATCACGTGTACACGCCCTGTACTGAAGTGCGTCACGTGATCACGTGTACACGCCCTGTACTGCCGAGCGTCACCACGTGATCACGTGTACACGCCCTGTACTGCCGAGCGTCACCACGTGATCACGTAAACAAAGCAGCAATTAGTTACCAGTGTAGTGCATAGTGTAGTGTGTAGTAGTGTAGTGCATAGTGTAGTGTGTATAGTGTACTGTATAGTGTAGTGTATAGTGTAGTGTATAGTAGTGTAGTGTGTAGTGTATAGTAGTGTAGTGTATAGTGTGTAGTGTAGTGTATAGTGTAGTGTATAGTGTAGTGTATAGTAGTGTAGTGTATAGTAGTGTATAGTGTGTGTAGTGTATAGTAGTGTATAGTAGTATAGTGTTTAGTGTAGTGTGTAGCGTATAGTGTAGTGTATAGTAGTGTATAGTGTAGTGTATAGTAGAGTAGTGTATAGTGTAGTGTATAGTGTAGTGTATAATGTAGTGTGTAGTGTATAGTAGTGTGTAGTAGTGTAGTGTATAGTAGTGTAGTGTATAGTAGTGTAGTGTGTAGTAGTGTATAGTGTAGTGTAGTGTGTAGTAGTGTATAGTGTATAGTGGGTGGGGAGGGTGGGGCTGGGTGGGGAGAGTGGGGAGGGGCAGGGTGTGGAGTGTGGGGAGGGGCTGGTCACCCCGTGGTGCCCTTATAAAACTCAACGTTTAACCTACTCACGCCAGCTTGTGCTCAATACACCACCACGTGGTGGTGCCGCCGTCATCGACCCTGGCCATTGAGCGGGCAAACCACCGTTCCTACCAACTCCTCCCTCCGCAGGAGAATGTGTTACAAGGATTCATGTTACTACCGCATGAACCACAATACTTGTGGTCAGAATGCAAACACAAACACAAACTCCGATAATATTTGTGGCATTGTCTTTGAAACGGAATGGTCCACACCAGAGACGGCTTTCTTTTGAGCCACGTCTCAGTTGGTGCTTGACCAGAGGACGCCAAAAGGCGTAAGTTGGCCTTGACATGGCATCATAATTGGTGCGGTGATGATGATGCTGATGAGTGAAATGCTGGGTGAGTGAATGATTGAGTGGGTGAGTGAATGATGAGTGGGTGAGTGAATGAGTGGGTGAGTAAGATGGTGGGTGAGTGAATGAGTGGGTGAGTGAATGATTGAGTGGGTGAGTGAATGATTGAGTGGGTGAGTGAATGATTGAGTGGGTGAGTGAATGATTGAGTGGGTGAGTGAATGATTGAGTGGGTGAGTGAATGATTGAGTGGGTGAGTGAATGATTGAGTGGGTGAGTGAATGATTGAGTGGGTGAGTGATTGAGTGGGTGAGTGAATGATTGAGTGGGTGAGTGAATTATTGAGTGGGTGAGTGAACGAATGAGTGGGTGAGTGAATGCTTGAGTGGGTGAGTGAATGATTGAGTGGGTGAGTGAATGAGTGGGTGAGTGAATGATTGAGTGGGTGAGTGAATGATTGAGTGGGTGAGTGAATGATTGAGTGGGTGAGTGAATGAGTGGGTGAGTGAATTATTGAGTGGGTGAGTGAATGACTGAGTGGGTGAGTGAACGAATGAGTGAGTGAATGAGTGAGTGAATGAATGGCGGTAGTGTTCATGGTGTGGGGAGCGGTGGTGCAGCGGTTAGCGCTGCGCTCCAAACCCTGGCAGATACCTGAGTTTGATTCCCGCTCACGGCCACCAGCACCAGCAGTGACGATAAATCTGAACCGGTCCTGGGCCTCCCCTAAGTCGACTCAGTCTACATCTCCCAGGGATAGAACCCACGACCTCCTGTAGTCCAGGCGAGGTAGTCAACATTTCCCAGGGTAACAGACTCGTACCCACGACCTCCTGTAGACCAGGTGAGGTGGTCAACATCTCCCAGGGATAGAACCCACGACCTCCTGTAGACCAGGCGAGGTAGTCAACATCTCCCAGGGATAGAACCCACGACCTCCTGTAGACCAGGCGAGGTAGTCAACATCTCCCAGGGATAGAACCCACGACCTCCTGTATACCAGGCGAGGTAGTCAACATCTCCCAGGGATAGAACCCACGACCTCCTGTATACCAGGCGAGGTAGTCAACATCTCCCAGGGATAGAACCCACGACCACCTGTACACCAGGCGAGGTAGTCAACATCTCCCAGGGATAGAACCCACGACCTCCTGTAGACCAGGTGAGGTGGTCAACATCTCCCAGGGATAGAACCCACGACCTCCTGTATACCAGGCGAGGTAGTCAACATCTCCCAGGGATAGAACCCACGACCTCCTGTAGACCAGCCGAGGTAGTCAACATCTCCCAGGGATAGAACCCACGACCTCCTGTATACCAGGCGAGGTAGTCAACATCTCCCAGGGATAGAACCCACGACCACCTGTACACCAGGCGAGGTAGTCAACATCTCCCAGGGATAGAACCCACGACCTCCTGTAGACCAGGTGAGGTGGTCAACATCTCTCAGGGATAGAACCCACGACCTCCTGTAGACCAGGCGAGGTAGTCAACATCTCCCAGGGATAGAACCCACGACCACCTGTAGACCAGGCGAGGTAGTCAACATCTCCCAGGGATAGAACCCACGACCTCCTGTATACCTGGCGAGGTAGTCAACATCTCCCAGGGATAGAACCCACGACCTCCTGTATACCAGGCGAGGTAGTCAACATCTCCCAGGGATAGAACCCACGACCTCCTGTAGACCAGGCGAGGTAGTCAACATCTCCCAGGGATAGAACCCACGACCTCCTGTAGACCAGGCGAGGTAGTCAACATCTCCCAGGGATAGAACCCACGACCTCCTGTAGACCAGGCGAGGTAATCAACATCTCCCAGGGATAGAACCCACGACCTCCTGTATACCAGGCGAGGTAGTCAACATCTCCCAGGGATAGAACCCACGACCTCCTGTAGACCAGGCGAGGTAGTCAACATCTCCCAGGGATAGAACCCACGACCTCCTGTAGACCAGGCGAGGTAGTCAACATCTCCCAGGGGTAGAACCCACGACCACCTGTAGACGAGGCGAGGTAGTCAACATCTCCTGGTCACCAGCACTGGAAATCCTGCCACATTTCATAGTCCACATCCACAGGATGAGACCTCTACCGGTGGCGGTAGACGTCTTCTGGAAGATCTGGAAGACGTCTCGATCTTCCGGAAGAAGAGGTCTCACCTTCTGGAGGATAGCTTCTCGGTGTGAGATCCCTTCTCGTGTCCTTGGTTTTTTGTCGGTAAAGTCACGTGGATAGCAAATAAAAATAATAAAATGAAATAAAAAAATAAATTGAAAATAATAAAAGCGAGAACACCCGCGGAAAAAATTTATTAAAAAAAGCAAAAAAATATTAATTCCTGCAGTCACAACATTTTAAGTATTCTTAGTTTTTTCGGTAAAGTCACGTTGAAGAGAAACAACAAATAATATAATATATATAAAACAATAAAAATTCTCACGACGTTTAGACCATAACTCAAACGGTCATCTTCAGGTGTGTTGGTTTGCAAACCAAAATGTCGTGAGAATTTTTATTGTTTTATATATATTATATTATTTGTTGTTTCTCTTCAACGTGACTTTACCGAAAAAACTAAGCATATGAATTACTGCAGTCACGAAAGCTTTAAATCAAAATTTAACATTTTAAGTGAAGAGCCCCGCTTCTGGAAGGCCTCTTCTCCTTCTGGAAGACGAATTCCTCTTCTGGAAGATTACATCACCTTCCGGAAGATATTTCTCCTTCCGGTAGAACGTCTTGGTCTGCTCTAAGCTCTCTAGCTCTTCCGGAAGAGGTCTTCCTCTTCCGGCAGACAATCATCTGTCCGCTTTAAGCTACCCATCTTCGTCCGGAAGATTTCTTCCGCTTCCGGTAGCTCCACTTCGGTCTGCTCTAACGTATTCTCACATTCCGGAAGATATCTTCCTCTTCCGGTAGACCCTCATCGGTCTGCTGTTAGGTATTCTCACCTTCCGGAAGATATCTTCCTCTTCCGGTAGACCCTCATCGGTCTGGTCTAACGTATTCTAACCTTCCGGAAGATATCTTCCTCTTCCGGTAGACCCTCATCGGTCTCCTCTCAGCTATCCCTCAACTTCCGGAAGATGTCTACCTCTTCCGGTAGATTTCTACATCTTCTGGTAGAGGCTACAACTTCCGGTAGAGTTCTACCACTTCCGGTAGAAATCTAACGCTCCCGGTAGAATATCTACCGCTTCCGGTAGATATCTACCGCTCCCGGTAGAAATCTACCGCTCCTGGTAGAAGTCTACCGCTTCCGGCAGATATCTACCGCTCCCGGTAGAAATCTACCGCTCCTGGCAGAAGTCTACCGCTTCCGGTAGAAATTTACCGCTCCTGGTAGAAGTCTACCGCTTCCGGTAGATATCTACCGCTCTCGGTAGAAATCTACCGCTCCTGGTAGAAGTCTACCGCTTCCGGTAGATATCTACCGCTCTCGGTAGAAATCTACCGCTCCTGGTAGAAGTCTACCGCTTCCGGTAGATATCTACCGCTCCCGGTAGCAATCTACCGCTCCTGGTAGAAGACTACCGCTTCCGGTAGCTATCTACCGCTTCCGGTAGACATCTACCGCTTCCGGTAGAAATCTACCGCTCCCGGTAGAAGTCTACCGCTTCCGGTAGATATCTACGGCTTCAGGTAGATTTCAACCGCTCCCGGTAGAAATCTACCGCTCCAGGTAGAGGTCTACCGCTTCCGGTAGACTCCCCGCGTCTTCCGGTGGCGGCAGATATCTACCGCTTCCGGTAGACTCCCCGCGTCTTCCGGTGGCGGCAGAGCCCCGGCCGAGTTCCGGCAGGCGGGGCGTGACGTCACGCGTGTCCCGGGTAAAGTTGCGAGCGAGCGGAGCGCCACCACCACCACCACAACAACAACAACCAAAGAAAGCCACAACCAAAACTACAGTGAACCACAACAAACAACAACAGCAAACTGCCGCGGCTGTTGTTGTTGTTGTTGCTGCTGCTGCTGCGGACGAGAGAGAAGGGTTGGGGAGGCGAGACGAGGGGCTTGAACTGAGTTGGTGAGTGAGTGGGTGAGTGAGTTGGTGAGTGAGTGGGTGAGTGGGTGAGTGAGTTGGTGAGTGAGTGGGTGAGTGGGTGAGTTGGTGAGTGAGTGGGTGAGCGAGTGGGTGAGTTGGTGAGTGGGTGAGTTGGTGAGTGGGTGGGTTGGTGAGTGAGTGGGTGGGTGAGTGAGTGGGTGAGTGAGTTGGTGAGTGAGTGAGTTGGTGAGTGAGTGGGTGAGTGAGTGAGTGAGTTGGTGAGTGGGTGAGTGGGTTGGTGAGTGAGTGGGTGAGTTGGTGAGTGGGTGAGTGAGTGAGTGGGTGAGTTGGTAAGTGGGTGAGTGGGTGGGTGATTGAGTGGGTGGGTGAGTGAGTTGGTGAGTGAGTGAGTTGGTGAGTGGGTGAGTGAGTGGGTGAGTGGGTGGGTGAGTGAGTGGGTGAGTTGGTGAGTGGGTGGGTGAGTGAGTGGGTGAGTTGGTGAGTGAGTGGGTGAGTTGGTGAGTGAGTGAGTTGGTGAGTGAGTGGGTGAGTGAGTGTGTGAGTGGGTGAGTGTGTGAGTGGGTGAGTGTGTGAGTTGGTGAGTGGGTGGGTGAGTTGGTGAGTGAGTGAGTGGGTGAGTTGGTGAGTGAGTGGGTGAGTGAGTGGGTGGGTGAGTGGGTGAGTGAATGAGTGGGTGAGTGAGTGAGTGGGTGAGTGAGTGAGTGGGTGAGTTGGTGAGTTGGTGAGTGGGTGAGTGAGTGAGTGGGTGAGTGAGTGGGTGAGTGGGTGGCTGAGTTGGTGAGTGAGTGAGTTGGTGAGTGGGTGGCTGAGTTGGTGAGTGAGTGAGTTGGTGAGTGAGTGAGTGGGTGAGTGAGTGGGTGAGTGAGTGAGTGGGTGAGTTGATGAGTGAGTGAGTGGGTGAGTGGGTGAGTTGGTGAGTGAGTGGGTGAGTGAGTGGGTGGCTGAGTTGGTGAGTGAGTGAGTTGGTGAGTGGTTGGGTGAGTGGGTGAGTGAGTTGGTGAGTGAGTTGGTGAGTGAGTTGGTGAGTGAGTGAGTTGGTGAGTGAGTGAGTTGGTGAGTGAGTTGGTGAGTGAGTTGGTGAGTGAGTGAATTGGTGAGTGAGTTTGTGAGTGAGTTGGTGAGTTGGTGAGTGATCGATGAGCGACGCGTTCGAGGATGACTTCCTGAGGCTTCTGTTCGGAGAATCGACTCGACCCACAACTCCATCAGGTACACAACAACAACAACAACCACCACAACACTATACAGCACAACCACCACCACAATACTACACAACAACCACCACCACAACACTATACAGCACAACCACAATACTACACAACCACCACCACCACAATACTACACAACCACCACCACCACAATACTACACAACCACCACCACAATACTACACAACCACCACCACCACCACAATACTACACAACCACCACCACCACCACAATACTACACAACCACCACAATACTACACAACCACCACCACCACAATACTACACAGCACAACCACCACCACCACAACACTACACAACAACAACACTATACAGCACAACCACCACCACAACACTACACAACCACCACCACCACAACACTATACAGCACAACCACCACCACAACACTACACAACCACCACCACAACACTATACAGCACAACCACCACCACAATACTACACAGCACTGCCCAGTAGCCTCACAGTGCACCTAGCCTGGCACTGGTCTCAGTAGCCTCAAGGTGCACCTAGCCTGGCACCGCGCCCAGTAGCCTCACAGTGCACCTAGCCTGGCACTGGTCTCAGTAGCCTCAAGGTGCACCTAGCCTGGCACTGCCCCCAGTATCCTCAAGGTGCACCTAGCCTGGCACTGGTCTCAGTAGCCTCAAGGTGCACCTAGCCTGGCACTGGGCCCAGTATCCTCACGGTGCACCTAGCCTGGCACTGCCCAGTATCCTCAAGGTGCACCTAGCCTGGCACTGGTCTCAGTAGCCTCAAGGTGCACCTAGCCTGGCACTGCCCCCAGTATCCTCAAGGTGCACCTAGCCTGGCACTGCCCAGTATCCTCAAGGTGCACCTAGCCTGGCACTGGGCCCAGTATCCTCAAGGTGCACCTAGCCTGGCACTGCCCAGTATCCTCAAGGTGCACCTAGCCTGGCACTGCCCCCAATATCCTCACGGTGCACCTAGCCTGGCACTGGTCTCAGTATCCTCAAGGTGCACCTAGCCTGGCACCGGGCCCAGTATCCTCAAGGTGCACCTAGCCTGGCACTGGGCCCAGTATCCTCAAGGTGCACCTAGCCTGGCACTGGGCCCAGTATCCTCAAGGTGCACCTAGCCTGGCACCGCCCAGTAGCCTCAAGGTGCACCTAGCCTGGCACTGCCCCCAGTATCCTCACGGTGCACCTAGCCTGGCACTGGTCTCAGTATCCTCAAGGTGCACCTAGCCTGGCACTGGTCTCAGTATCCTCACGGTGCACCTAGCCTGGCACTGCCCCCTGTAGCCTCAAGGTGCACCTAGCCTGGCACTGCCCAGTATCCTCAAGGTGCACTTAGCCTGGCACTGCCCCCAGTAGCCTCAAGGTGCACTTAGCCTGGCACTGGTCTCAGTATCCTCAAGGTGCACCTAGCCTGGCACTGCCCAGTAGCCTCAAGGTGCACCTAGCCTGGCACTGCCCCCAGTAGCCTCACGGTGCACCTAGCCTGGCACTGGTCTCAGTATCCTCAAGGTGCACCTAGCCTGGCACTGGTCTCAGTAGCCTCAAGGTGCACCTAGCCTGGCACTGGTCTCAGTATCCTCAAGGTGCACCTAGCCTGGCACTGCCCCCAGTATCCTCAAGGTGCACCTAGCCTGGCACTGGGCCCAGTATCCTCAAGGTGCACCTAGCCTGGCACTGCCCCCAGTATCCTCAAGGTGCACCTAGCCTGGCACTGCCCCCAGTAGCCTCAAGGTGCACCTAGCCTGGCACTGCCATGCCGCGGGCTTCACGATCCGCTTCCTCCTGCACGGAGGCCGATCTTGACACAGGCCGCTGGTCAGGGACACAAAGGCAAAGCTCCCCCGTGTAGCCTCAGCAGACTGTAGGGGCAAGTGCTGTTGGCAAGTAGCAGCAGCATCAGCAGCAGCAGCCTTTAACATCCTGCACCGTGGCACACGAGGGGGTGGGTGGCCAGCACCACCACGCCCGGCCGCCTTTGTCTCCCCAGTGGCGATGCTCACCGCACACCGCTACACCAGGTAACTCATTTGAGGCTGAGTCGACCTAAGGGGAGGCCACGGGGCCGGTTCGGACGATCGTCACCGGCGGTGTTGGTGGCCGTGAGCGGGAATCGAACCCCGGGTGGCCGGGTTCGTAGCGCGGCGTGGCGCTAACCGCTGCACCACCGCTCCCCCACACTACTAACGGACACACACATTGCACACACATTACACACACACACATTGCACACACATTACACACACACATCACACACACACACATTACACAAATTACACACACACATTACACACACACATCACACACACACACATTACACACATTACACACACACATTACACACATTACACACACACATCACACACACATTGCACACACGCGCACACACACATCACACACACACACATCACACACACACATTACACACACACATCACACACACACATCACACACACATCACACACACACACATCACACACACATTACACACACATTACACACACACATCACACACACATCACACACACACACTACACACACACATTGCACACATACACGCACACTGCGAACACACACACTGCACACACACATTACACACACACTGCACACACACACACACATTGCACACATTACACACACACATTACACACACACTGCACACGCACACACACACACTACACACACACATTACACACACACATTGCACACACACACTGCGAACACACACACGCACACTGCACACACACACACACATTACACACACACATTACACACTGCACACACACACACACTGCACACACTGCGAACACACACACACTGCACACACTGCGAACACACACACACACTGCACACACACACACTACACACACACATTGCACACACACACTGCACACACACACACACACTGTTAACACACACACTGCACACACACACACACTGCACACACATTACACACACATTACACACACTACACACACATTACACACACACACTACACACACACTGCACACACACTGCACACACACACACATTACACACACACTACACACACATTACACACACACACTACACACACACTGCACACACACTACACACACACACTGCACACACACACACTACACACACACTACACACACATTACACACACACATTACACACACACTGCACACACACACATTACACACACACACATTACACACACACATTACACACACACTGCACACACACACACTGCACACGTATACAGTGACATACAGACACAAAACAAACACACCCCCCCTACCCGTGTATCTTTCATCAGACAAAGACAAAGAAACCCTCCTGTGTGGTAGCCTTAACAGACTGTCAGGGCAAGTGCTGTTGGGGATCACACAGGCACACACACAAAGACAGAGGTCTCCCGTGTAGCCTGGGAATCGCACTTGGCTACGTACGCTGTGGAATAAGTTAATGTACATACATAGACTCATCACACACAGAGACCCATAGACTACTCACACAGCAGAGAGCCATAGACTCATCACACACAGAGACCCATAGACTCATCACACACACAGACCCATAGACTCATCACACAGCAGAGACCCACATACTCATCACACAGCAGAGACCCATAAACTCATCACACAGCAGAGACCCATAGACTCATCACACAGCAGAGACCCATAGACTCATCATAGAGACCCATAGACTCATCACACAGCAAAGACCCATAGACTCATCACACAGCAGAGACCCATAGACTCATCACACAGCAGAGAGCCATAGACTCATCACACAGCAGAGACCCATAGACTCATCACACAGCAGAGACCCATAGACTCATCACACAGCAGAGACCCATAGACTCATCACACAGCAGAGAGCCATAGACTCATCACACAGCAGAGACCCATAGACTCATCACACAGCAGAGACCCATAGACTCATCACACAGCAGAGACCCACAGACTCATCACACAACAGAGAGCCATAGACTCATCACACAGCAGAGACCCATAGACTCATCACACAGAGACCCATCGACTCATCACACAGCAGAGAGCCATAGACTCATCACACAGCAGAGACCCATAAACTCATCACACAGCAGAGACCCATAGACTCATCACACAGCAGAGACCCATAGACTCATCATAGAGACCCATAGACTCATCACACAGCAAAGACCCATAGACTCATCACACAGCAGAGACCCATAGACTCATCACACAGCAGAGAGCCATAGACTCATCACACAGCAGAGACCCATAGACTCATCACACAGCAGAGACCCATAGACTACTCACACAGCAGAGAGCCATAGACTCATCACACAGCAGAGAGCCATAGACTCATCACACAGCAGAGACCCATAGACTCATCACACAGCAGAGACCCATAGACTCATCACACAGCAGAGACCCACAGACTCATCACACAACAGAGAGCCATAGACTCATCACACAGCAGAGACCCATAGACTCATCACACAGAGACCCATCGACTCATCACACAGCAGAGAGCCATAGACTCATCACACAGCAGAGACCCATAGACTCATCACACAGCAAAGAGCCATAGACTCATCACACAGCAGAGACCCATAGACTCATCACACAGCAGAGACCCATAGACTCATCACACAGCAGAGACCCATAGACTCATCACACAGCAAAGAGCCATAGACTCATCACACAGCAGAGACCCATAGCCTCATCACACAACAGAGACTCATAGACTCATCACACAGCAGAGACCTATAGACTCATCACACAGCAGAGACCCATAGACTCATCACACAGCAGAGACCCATAGACTCATCACACACAGAGACCCATAGACTCATCACACGGTAGAGACCCATAGACTCATCACACACACAGACCCATAGACTCATCACACAGCAGAGACCCATAGACTCATCACACAGCAAAGAGCCATAGACTCATCACACAGCAGAGACCCATAGCCTCATCACACAACAGAGACTCATAGACTCATCACACAGCAGAGACCTATAGACTCATC